CCGGAATTCGCGTTTCACACTCAGCGACGGTACAACAACAACAGCAACCGACAACAACCAAAACCCGTACCTCCGTTCTGCCACATCTGCAAGACGTCAGGGCACCCACGCATGCACTGCCCAAATCGACAACAGTCAACGCCACCACAGCAACAACTTCGACCTTCAAGTAGCCAAGTTGCCCCAACGCAAGCGAATCCCACGACCCAGGTACAAGCTTCAACACCACCAACGGGACAACCTGCACAAGGAACAAGGAACATCGTCAGTTGTATGGCAAGACTGACCGACTCCTGCGTCACTGAATCACCACCACATTACTCACCGGAAGAACAGCTCGACAACAGCACGCCCCGCCGCGAGTCACTGCAGCCGAACCCGACATACGCCGCCATCGCCCAGAGTGAGCCATCCGGGAAGGACACATGGTTCTTGGACAGTTGCTGCGGACAGCACATGTGTTCTTCAGGACGCTTCGTACAACGAGAGTACCAACTCCAACGTGAAGTAGTCATCACCGTCGCCAACAATCAAAACCTGCGCACACGACGACAAGGCGTAGTACACCTTCAGTCACGAGAGACAAATGTCATTCTACAGATGTCCAAGGTCTTAATTGCAAAAGGCCTCGGCTACAACTTACTGAGCGTCAGCCAGTTGATGGCGAAGGGTATTCACCTTGAAGCAAACAGCACCACCCAGGAGTTCAAGCTGTACCACGGGAAGGGCGGCCTCTACATCAGAGAGGCGATCCTCAAGAACAACGTCTTCGTTCTTGATTTTGTTCCAGATCTCGGCACAGCAGACAGCGACGGCATCGTCACCTTCACCTCCTGGACCCACCCTCCAGATCTTGATCAAGATTTCAGCCCTGGTGGGTTCTGGCGCTCTCACACAATACCTGAGACAGAAGAAACAAGAGCGTTAGCAACAATTCAAGCAACATCGGCAGCAGCAGCAACAACATCGGCAGCAGCAGCAACAACATCAGCAGCAGCAGAAGCAACATCGGCAGCAGCAGAGACAACAACGACAGCAGCAGCAGAAGCAACAACGGCAGCAGCAGAGACAACAACAGCAGCGGTAACATCGACACCAATCGCCGGTCCTTCAACGGCACCAATTTCCATCAACGATTCGCCACCAACACCCGCACAACAGTTAAACCCAGCACCACGTGAAGTGCACCGAAGCACCAACGTCACCGCCAACTTCTACTCCAACTCCGATCTGTATCGACGATCACCCGGACATCGCGCCACTGAAGGAACCTGGCACGCAAGAATGGGACATCCAAGCAACACAGTGTTAAACAACACGATAAGAGCAGGAGTGCTCGACAAAGATTCACTCCTACTGACCGACGGCAGAGAACTTCAACGAGCCCGTGGAACGTGCTTCACCTGCCCTGAAGCTGACTTACCGCATCAGCCGTTCGTCTCGCATCACAATCCAAGCGCACCTGCGTACACACCTCTGGAAAAGGTGTACAGCGACATATTATACAACCGTGAACCCGGACAAAACGCCTACAGTTACACCATCACGTTCATCGACGCCGCGACACGATATGTGTGGCATATCAACCTCCCGAGCAGGGACATGGCCTTCGAAGCCTTCGTCGCGTGGCTTCCCGTAGCAGAAAGAGAATCGGGCGTCAAGCTAAAGAGCTTTCAGTCAGACGGGGGAGGAGAATACACCTCACAGAGGTTCAAGCAGTACTTGGCAGAAAGAGGGATCAAACGGCTCATCTCTCTACCCTACGCCCACCAACAGCAAGGTGTAGCAGAACGGATGAACAGGACGCTCCAAGCCACCATGCGCAAGCTGCTACGTGGCATGCACCTGCCCAACCACCAGTGGCCCGAAGCAATGGACCACGCCGTGATGCTGCACAACTTGCTTTCGTCATCATCGCTCCCGAACAACGCATCACCGCATCTGCTGTGGAAAGGCAAATTGGGCAGCACAAAAATGTTGAGAGTCTTCGGCTGCATGGTACAGTACCGACCTCCATCTGCACGAGCTGGACGATTCTCTCAATGCGCATAGTGGGGACTGCACTTGGGCATCGAAAAGCATTACAACGCATGGAAAATTTTCGACATCAACAGCAAGGAAACAGTAGCAGCACGTGACGTTATCTTCTACGAGAACCTCACCCTCGGAACTCACCTCATGTACGTCGAAGAAAACAGACCTGACCTCTCGGGCGGATTTCTTGGGAACCGAGCCTTCGCCTCGGCAGAAGACGAAGCTGACTGGGACGAGCAGAACGTGGAGGGAGCCTCGGAAATAGCCGGACCTCTCCCTTACTGCTCCGTGGATATCCCAATGGACGACGAAAATCCTCGCGAAAGCGTCAACGCCGACGTCTTCTACGACTTCGCCGACAACGATTATGTTACACCTGCACGGGTCAACACCAACGAAGCAGAACGCGTAGGACCCAATTTCAAACCAGCACCAGAAGCGGGAGACGAAGCAGTCTATCCCGAGGATACCACACTCCCTCGCTACACACAGAGTGGACTTCAGATACTCGGGCTCGTCACCGCAGTCCACGGTCCCGCCATTCCTAAGGAGCCTGCGACGGTTCAACAGGCTCTGGGGGGGGAGCACAGGGAAAAATGGCGCGAAGCCATGGACAGGGAGCTGAAAGCATTAGAAGAGCGCAACACGTGGAAAGTCGTCCCCATCAGCGTAGCACGGAACAAAACCATCCTCACCGGAAAATGGGTCTTCCGCGTGAAAACGAAAGCAGACGGCACCATCGAGAAGTTCAAAGCACGATGGGTCGTGCGCGGCTTCGACCAAGAGCACGGACGCGACTTCACCGAAACATTCGCACCTGTCAGTCGACACACCTTACTGCGAATTCTCCTCGCAATCGCCGCCATGAAGAAGAAGAAGCTGAAACAAATCGACGTTGCGAACGCATTTCTCTATGCACCTGTCGACGCAGAGATTTTTGTGGAGCTACCACACGGCTCCAGCACGGACTCCACACACGTCTGCCAGCTGCTCAAATCGCTCTACGGCATCAAACAGGCTCCGCGACTGTGGCAACAGTATCTACACGCTCGCCTCGTCCGCATCGGCTTTAAACAACTGCCGCACGATCAGGGCATGTACCGACTTACAAAGAACACCGACTACATTCTACTAATCGTCTATGTAGACGACCTCCTCTACATCGGCTCGTCCGACAGCATCACCACCTGGTTCGAAGGGGAGCTGCAGCAAGACCTCACGCTTACGGTTTCGCCTACCGTCACACAGTACCTTGGGCTCAACATCCGAGAAGAAGACAACGCGATCTACCTCAGTGCCGCGAAATACGCCGACACCATCGCCAAGCGTTTCGCCCTTTCACCAACCGCCATCTCCCCACCATATCGCTACACGACAGGAAACAACAAGGGTGAATCCACTCTACTCAAGCTTGCCGGCATTCGCGACTACCAGAGAAAGCTGGGATGCCTTCTCTTCGCAGCCGTCACCTGTCGCCCAGACCTATCCTACTCCGCAAGCCAACTCGCCACCTATCTTAAAAGACCCGAAGCAGAGCACCTAGCAGAGCTCGACCGCGCTCTTCACTACCTCGTCAGCACCCCGACGATCGGGCTAACCTACCACAAGAACGCAACTACACCGACTAAGTTAATCGGCTACGTCGACGCAGATCATGCTGGTGACTCAGACAACAGACGCTCGCGCACCGGCTACATCTATCGCCTTGAACCTATCGGTCCTATCTCCTGGCAGTCGAGCAAGCAGGAGTTAATCGCACTCTCATCAGCTGAAGCAGAATACATTGCACTCTGCTCAGCCACCAAAGAAGGACTTTACCTTCGCGAGCTGCTGGAAGAAGCGAAATTAGCCGAGTTACCCAACTTCACCATGTTGTGCGACAACCAGTCGGCAATTCGCATCGCCAACAAAAGCGGCTTCGCGAACAGGACGAAACACATCGCCCTACGCTATTTCTTCGTAAAGGACGAGATCGAGAAGGGAAGACTCGAGCTGTCATACTGTCCCACGTCCGAGATGGCAGCCGACTATTTGACCAAGAAGCTCGGAAAGCAGAAGTTTGAGTATTGCATGCTGCTGACTGGACAAAGCCACGTCATCAGCTGCGACACTCCAGAAGCGAAGGGGAGTGTTGGAAACAGTAAATCTTAAGCGCCTCTGTCGTGTCGAAACATCGCACCAGAAGCGAAGCGAACTATATTGAGGCACACGCGAGTCAACCCTCGGAGGTTGAAAGAGGTTGCTGGAGGTTACGCGAAAGTCAAAGGTCAAGCGACCTTTGACCTGACAAGTACAGCGCGACAGCAAGGACACACAACTGACTCGCTACAGAGCAGTTGCCCGAGTCGTCACTATATCGAACCGCAACAGCAACAGTAAAGCAGTTATAACCGTATCCTTTCATATTCCTTGTACTCATATATAAATGCTTGTATCTCTTTGCTTTAATCAACTTACTTTGCCCTCACATACCAGCGCAAGGTGGTTCACAACTTCTTTATTAAACGCTTCCGCTATTACAATTATCCTACCCCGAATTTACCCCTGCAAAGATCCTAAGGGCTTTTCTCAGCCCAACATAGGGGTTGTACCCCACATTGGCTACCCCACTACAGCCTACACCTGATTATAAAACATATATAGTTTGACAGAACGAGACCAGCTTGAACGGTTCAGATTTGTGGAGATGGTGATCGAGATTTTCTGAGATCCAGATTCAAGCGGCTTTCGTGTGGTTCAGTTGGGTTCCTCACGGTGCAATATGGTTCTAGTACATTGCTGCTTTGGAGCGCACGACACCGAACGAAACCGAGGATCTCTTGTCTGGGGGAGATGGTATCATATAACGTCGGTATGGCAATACGGTAGGGATATGCTTTGCCAATCAGTATAGCCCAGGAGCACGCAGAAGGCAGCAAGCAGCAAGCGGGCACGTGGTGGGCATCTCATCGTCCAGAACGTAAGAGTTAGGAAGCCAGCCCTTTAGTGGGCGTCTCATCATCTCTGGCAGCAAGAGCGATGTTGGAGATCCAGCACACACCAGTGGACCCTGAACTCGTCAGCAGCTCCCACTCCCCCACCTCCATCCCTCCTCCTCTCCTCGCCTCCCCTCTCCCTCTCCCTCCCAGCCCCTCCTGCCCGCTCTCACTCCCCACCTCCTCTCCCTCCTCCCCTGCCCCCCTCTCCTCCCCCTCCTCATCCCCTTCAGCCACCTCGGAGAGCGAAGGCCCTACGTCAATGCTGCTGTTCACTGTGTCCTTATCGTCGTCCTCACTCTCGTGCGTGCTTATATCAGAAGCCGTCGACCCCCCTACAATCACCACACTGTCACTCAACGCACCCTGCTTTCCCCCACTCCTGCCGTCCGAACCGTTCCCACCTTCCTCCCCTTCCCCCTCCTCCTCCCCCTCTTCCACCACACCACCCAGCCCACCTCGTCTGCTAACCTGCAGCCCTGCTACAGCCGCTACAGCCGCCGCCGCCACAGCAGCAGCCTCGGTCTCCGAACCTGCTGCTACTACAGCTGCGGCAAAACTGGCTGACACAGTTTGTCTGGATCCCACCACCCCTGCCTCCTCACCATCAAGACTCTCAGGCTCGTTCGCAGGAGTGGGGGTTGGGGGCGCGGGTGGGGGCAGCGGCGGTAGGCTGGCATGGTGGTGCGAGTGGTGGGAATCATGGTGGAGGCGGCTGGGATGGGTGTAGAGCGGTGCAGCGCGGCGCTGCGACCAGGAGTAGCCACAGAAATCAACAGCAACGACCGTGACGGGAGCTAAGCGTTCCACGCTGGCCGCTACAGCGTCGCCATGTGTCACGCATAGGATGCTGTCGGTGGGGAAGAGCGCTGCCACGTCATCAAAGGCCTGCATGAAGCGCTCTCGTGCACTCTCGAGAGATTCAGGGAAGATAGGGAACTGGTGGTGGGCGAGGGGTTGAGGGGATGGGAAAAAAAGGGAGGGTTAATGGGCAAGCATGAAGCGCTCGCGTGCACTCTCGAGGGACATGAGGAGGAGAGTGTACAGGCGGAAGGGAAGGAAGTGGTGATTGTGCGAGCATGCATGTGCGAATGCATTTGCGTGTGAATGGTGTGTTCATGTGTTGATACTCTTTTGCAATTTTTGCTTGATGAATTTGCGGGCAATCGTGAAATGTGCGCTTTGGCATAACACTGAACGTGCTATGAACAGTACAAACAGAAAGAAACAGCTCGCGAAGGTACCCAAAATGGAAGTTGCAACTTATTCTGACTTCGTACGCAGACTAAGTTTTCTGCAAATTGAAATTGTACTGTCTGTTTGGTTATTTAGAGTGTAGCAGAGCATGCACTGAAAAAGGGAAAATATTAGGTGAAAGTTGGATGTTGCAATAAGCAAGGAAAGGAGGAAAAGGCAAGGACGTAAATCACGATCCTGATCATTGCAGAAAGTCTAAAACACAAGACACCAGGGTGCAGCAGTGTGGGCAAGCACTCACACCTCAGAATGGGTAAGATGGTGGGCACACATGCAAGGCTATGCATGGCACAGTGGTGTGCGTGTGCAAGCTCACCTCAGAATGCACACTCCTGCCTGCCCTCCCCTCTGCGGAGGCAGCAGCAGCGGCACCAGCACTAGCAGCAGCAGCAGGAAGCGGTAGGAAGGTAGTGCCCGGGGGAAAGAGCGCCTTCAAATCGCCCTCCTCCAGCACCCACCCCTTGCTGCGCGCCTCTGCTGCCGCCGCCTCCACTGCTGCCGCCAGCCCTGCATGCTCCGCCACGCTGCTGTGTCGGATGGACGCCGCTGGTGGGCGCTCCTCCGTGCACCTCCGCAGGGCGCGCGTGTTCATCACCTCAGCCAGGGCGGGGCTGAATGACACCTGCGGGATGACGCAGGAAGGGAGGTGGGGAAGGGGGAATGGGAGGGGAGGGGAGGAGACGGGACGGGAGGGAGGGGAGGGGACGGGAGAGGAGGGAGGGGACGGGAGAGGAGGGAGGGGAGGGGAGGGGAAGGCAGGGGAGAAAGTGTGCGCTATGCAGGACAAAATAACACTCTTATGAGGGAGACGAGGGGGGGGCGAGATGGAAAGGGAAACGGGAGGACGAAGGGGGGAGATGGAGCGTGTGAGGCTAGGAGAGTGGCTGTTATGGCGAGGAGAGTGGCTGTTATGGCGAGGAGAGTGGCGAGGAGAGTAGGGGAGCTGGAGAGGAGGGAGGGGGGCGGTGAGAGAGATATGGAGAGCTAGGGGACGAACATGAAGGGAGCGACGAACATGAAGGGAGCGACGAGGTGACAGGAGATGTGGGAGAGAAGGCGGGAAAGGCAGGGAAAGGAAGAAGGGAGGAGGAAAGCAGGAGGGAAATGGCTGAGGGCCTCACCGTGACACTGACACCTGAAGGTGGAAACTGCGCCTGTCCCTCAGTCCCCTGCAATCCCTCCGCCGTCCCACCCGTCACCGCCCCCTCGCCTGCGTTGCCCCGCTCCCCCTTCCCTTCCTTATCCCCCTCCGCCCCTTCCCCCGTGCGCGCGCCCAGCAGCCCCGCCACGAGGTGAACGGCCGTCTGCACGCAGCGGCGGAACGGCGACACCACCACGCGCACCACAGCGCCCTCCTTGCCGCCCTCCCCCTCGTCCTCCCTCTCCCCCTCCTGCTGCCCCATCGCCAGCTGCCCCGCCGCTGCTTTCCCCTGGTGGCCCGCCTTCCCCCCGCCGTCCCCCCCCGCGTTCCCCCTTGCCGCGCCGAAGCCGCGCGCTCTGAGCGCCTGCCCGACCTCCTCTGCCGCCTTGGCGCCTCGCTCGGACAGCGGCGGGTCCCAGGGTCGGTCTGAGCCTGCTGCCCAGCCGTCGTCCTGCTCGTCAATAGGCTCGGCGTGCCGAACCACGACGAGCGTCTGAACGGTGGGCGCAGCAGGGTAGCTTGCGCCTGCCCCGCCGAACCTGCTCCCCCCTGCTTCCCGCTCCGCGACGCCCGCCGACTGCCCCCCAGATGGCTTCTCCCCGGGGCTGGAAAACAACGCCTTGCTCGTTATACCGAGTCTGCTTGTAACGAGGCCTGATCCCGCTAAGTCCGCCATAGGCTGATCAGATGTGAAGGAAGGCGCGGGCGACATGTGGTAAGGCGGGATAGACGAGCACGTCGAGAATTGATCCAGCGACATTATGCTTCCCGTCGGGCTGCCGAGCGTGGCCGCCACGCTGCTGTCTTGGCTCGTCGTCCGAACCAGGTGGCCCGGCGGGAAATCCACCCGAACCTGTGGTAGGGTCGGGAGGAAGAGCCCGTCCTGAGGAACGGAGCTGGCGGTGAAAGCGCCGAACGTGCTTCCCATGCTGCTCAAAACGGGGATGTCTGCTTCGGGGATAGAATGCGCGGCGGATTTGAGACCCCCGCACGGGACAATGGGATGCCGGATCCCTACATCTCCGGGCTTCGCTGCTGCTTCTAGCGAGTCTGCTTCTACCGGATCCCGCAGTTCTGTCGACGCTTGCTTGGCGCGATTGGCTGGATCGAGCGATGCGGAAGCAGCGGGATTGACTCCCGCGGAAGCGGCGGGGGGGTCTCCAGCGGGGATCGGCGCCGTGCCCGCGTCCTGTTCGTCGCCTGCGGCTGCTGCGACTCCTACGACTCCTGCGACTCCTGCGGCTGCAGCGGATCCTGCTTGCGACATTGTCGCGGCGCAACAACGTCTGACGCGATGATTAAGCGACAGCCGAATAAGAGACAGCTGGTGCAGTGATTCCTGGAGCACAGGCGATGACAGGAATGGGACAAAGGTGACGACATAGGCGATGATGATCCCAGAAACCAGAGCAGCCCTTGAGTGGAATCGGGATTCGGCAGGGGATATTTGTACTGTACCCACCATTGCTGATTTCAATATGCTAATGTTAGGCCCGCTGGCCTAAATCCGCTAAAGAATTAGCGGGGTCGACTAAGTCGAGGATGAAGCGCGGCGGAAGACTTTGGCGAAAGAACTACTAGCGAAATAGGCGAAGGAGTTACTGAGTAATTGAAGAAGAGTTGAATGAGAATTGGTTGATAATGCCAAGTACAAGCAAGGTTTATATAGCATGCAAGAAACAAGGTTGGAAAGTGGATTGTGGGACCAAGAATTGTAGTGCAAGAAAAGTAGAGTGCCACGTGGCACTAGAGAATCTGAGAAGATAAGGATAAGGGTGACTTGGAAAGTAATGTTCAAAATGAACAGTAAACACCCCTCTAACACTACCCCCCTCCCAAGGAGGCGACGTCCGCGGCGCCTGCAGACTGAAGGTACGCTCGGAGGCAAGCGTTGTCGGGAGACAGCGAGGACGAAGGAACCCAGCTGTCGTCGGCTGCATCGTAACCACGCCAACGAACCAAGAAGTCGATGAAAGAGACACCCCCCTGGAGACGGCGACGGTGCCTGAGGATGCGCTGGATCTGGTAGTCGGGCTCGTCGGTGTCAACAGCTACCGGCAGTGGAGGGTGATCACGGCCTGAGAAGATGGCGTTGGGATCGGTATAAGGACGAAGGAGAGACACGTGGAATGATGGGTGCATGCGGAAATGAGCGGGAAGGCGAAGGCGGTATGCGACTGGACCAAGTGCGCGCTCAATGACAAATGGACCAATGAAGCGTGGGCGAAGCTTGCTGTCCTGTGGCAGTCGGAGGTTGCGGCTGTCGAGAAGGACACGGTCACCAACTGAAAACGACACCTCACGACGACTGCGGTTGGTGGTGCGTGCCATGCGTGCATTTGCGAGCTCAAGGTGCTTCCTCACGTGATCATGAATGAAAGTGAGATGCTGGTGGAAGTTGTCCGCACGAGGGACGGTGGGTGTGAGATCGACACGAGTGGGGACATTGGGGTGCTGACCGTACAGTGCGAAGAACGGCGACATGTCATGAATACTAGGAGTGGGGCCTAGGCTTAGTAGCCTAGGCCCACACATAGAGTAGGTAGGATGTGCCCTAGGACTAGGGTTTTGGGTATGCTAAGGAGAATTGGAGAAGAGAGAATGGAGAATGGTGGGTTGAACTAGCAAGCAGCAGGATACATATAGGAAACCCTAAGGGGTTGTACTCACTATTGAGCACCCCACTGCAGGCTAGACAAATAACATAATCTGACACACCCCCATAGCCAAAGTGGGGTGTAATCAGCACACGTGAGAAGTCACAGCAATAGTTCACAATTATCAGCAAAGCTAGTGGCAGTCACAGGAGGCCAGTGAGGAGGAGGAGGAACTGTGGAGGGAGAGAAGAGAGGAGGCGACGACTGAAGTTGCAGACACACGGGCACCAGGAGCACCAGGTTGCAACCTCCTCCAACTGTCTCACTCTTCCCTACACTCACCCCCAGTGTCACCACTCGCTCCACGCCCACATCACCCCCCTAGCGCCACTCCCTCGTCTCCCACACATCCACCCCCGCAGCGGCAGCTGCAGCAGTGGGAGACGGAGGAGAAGGAAGGGGCGACGCACACGGAGCACCCCCACACCCGCCACCCCCACACCCTCCTGTCCAGGGGACCCAGGGGGGGGGGGGGGGCCGGGGCGAGAGAGCGCACGAGGGCGCGGGCAACCGCGCGTGCAGAGCAACAGCGCGGAGCAGGTAGGGTAGAGCGCACGAGGGCGCGGGCAACCGCGCGTGCAGAGCAACAGCGCGGAGCAGGTAGGGTAGAGCGCACGAGGGCGCGGGCAACCGCGCGTGCAGAGCAACAGCGCGGAGCAGGTAGGGTAGGGCGCACGAGGGCGCGGGCAACCGCGCGTGCAGAGCAACAGCGCGGAGCAGGTAGGGTAGAGCGCACGAGGGCGCGGGCAACCGCGCGTGCAGAGCAACAGCGCGGAGCAGGTAGGGTAGAGCGCACGAGGGCGCGGGCAACCGCGCGTGCAGAGCAACAGCGCGGAGCAGGTAGGGTAGGGCGCACGAGGGCGCGGGCAACCGCGCGTGCAGAGCAACAGCGCGGAGCAGGTAGGGTAGGGCGCACGAGGGCGCGGGCAACCGCGCGTGCAGAGCAACAGCGCGGAGCAGGTAGGGTAGGGCGCACGAGGGCGCGGGCAACCGCGCGTGCAGAGCAACAGCGCGGAGCAGGTAGGGTAGGGCGCACGAGGGCGCGGGTGAGACTGAGCGCGACTGCACAGGGTCCAGGAGCGGCGTCGCGGGCAGCTGCTGCAGAGGTCCAGAGGCGGCTGCTCCAGGGGCCAGGGGCGGCTGCTGCAGTGGCGGGTGGCTCCAGGGGCGGCTGCTGCAGTGGCGGGCGACTCCAGGGGCGGCTGCTCCAGGGGCGGCTGCTGCTGTGGCGGGCGACTCCAGGGGCGGCTGCTGCAGTGGCGGGCGGCTCCAGGGGCGGCTGCTGCAGTGGCGGGCGACTCCAGGGGCGGCTGCTGTAGTGGCGGGCGGCTCCAGGGGCGGCTGCTGCAGGGGCGGTTGCTCCAGGGGCGGCTGCTGCTGTGGCGGGCGACTCCAGGGGCGGCTGCTGCAGTGGCGGGCGACTCCAGGGGCGGCTGCTGCAGTGGCGGGCGGCTCCAGGGGCGGCTGCTGCAGGGGCGGCTGCTCCAGGGGCGGCTGCTGCTGTGGCGGGCGACTCCAGGGGCGGCTGCTGCAGTGGCGGGCGACTCCAGGGGCGGCTGCTGCAGTGGCGGGCGGCCCGAGGCGCGGGCTGGCCTGGCGCAGTCCGTACGGGCCGCGCGCGGGCCTGGCGCAGCCCGTACGGGCCGCGCGCGGGCCTGGCGCAGCCCGTACGGGCCGCGCGCGGGCCCGACGTAGGTCGCGGGGGGCACGACGGGCGACGGGGGGCGACGCGCGGGTCCCCGTCGCCCGTCGCAGCGCCTCCCGGGGGCGACGCGCGGAGTGACGGGGCAGAAAGCCGCCGCGCGCCTCGGGGCGCACGGCGGGCAGAAAACCGCCGCACGCTCCGAGCGCGCGGCGGGATGAAAAAATCCGTCGCACGCCTCGGGGTGTGCAACACACAGAGTAGCAGTAGCAGCGGAAGCAGTAAGGTGGTGGGCCCATTGAGGTAAGCGGCAGGAACGTGCTCGCTCTGATACCATGTCATGAATACTAGGAGTGGGGCCTAGGCTTAGTAGCCTAGGCCCACACATAGAGTAGGTAGGATGTGCCCTAGGACTAGGGTTTTGGGTATGCTAAGGAGAATTGGAGAAGAGAGAATGGAGAATGGTGGGTTGAACTAGCAAGCAGCAGGATACATATAGGAAACCCTAAGGGGTTGTACTCACTATTGAGCACCCCACTGCAGGCTAGACAAATAACATAATCTGACACGACATGCCTGTGGCGGAGTGGTGCGTGTTGTTGTAGGCGAACTCAGCCATGCTCAGCTTCTTGTCCCATGCTGCTGCGTCGTGCATCGTGATGCTGCGAAGGATCTGCTCCAAGGTCTGGTTCACGCGCTCAGTCTGTCCGTCTGTCTCTGGATGGTACGCAGACGACATGGCTAAGCGAGTCCCAAACAGTGCGAAAAGCTGCTTCCAGAACTTCGAGGTGAATCTAGGGTCGCGATCGGAAATGATGGAATCGGGAACCCCGTGCAGTCGGACTACGTCATCCACAAACAGCGTCGCGACTTCCTCTGCTGTGACCTGGCCGGGCGTGGGGATGAAGTGCGCTGCTCGAGAAAACTTGTCGACTACAACGAAGATGGCGTCGTGACCCCTAACTGTGCGCGGTAATGCCATGATGAAATCCATGGTAACTACCTGCCAAGGGCGGTCGGGCGGTGGAATCGGCTGCAAAAGTCCTGCCTTGCGCTGTCGCGAGGACTTCGTACGCTGACACGTGTCACACGAGCGAATGTAATCCTCTACGTCTGCTGCAAGCCCTGGCCAGTAGTACGTGCGACTAAGCGTCTTAGCCGTCTTGTCTGCTCCGAAGTGACCCGCACTAACTACATTGTGCGCCTCTGAGAGAAGGAGCTGTCGAAGAGGGCGGTAGGCTGGAACCCAAATCCGTGTGGTGCCCTTCCGTATGTAAACACTACCCTGCACCTCTGCTCCTGCGGGCGGTTGCGGTGTGAAGTCGGGATCTACTGTGTAACCGTGCTCGAAGAGTGCTGTGAGAAGTGGATGGCCTGCAGTGACTGTGAGGCTAGCGAGCTGACAACTAGGGCGAGTGAGCGGATCTGCTGGGTTGCGCACGCCTGGCTTGTACTCTATCCTGTAATGAAAGCTCCCCTCCATGAACTCCATCCATCTAGCCTGGCGACGACTCAGCTGCGGCTGCGACTTGAGAAAGCGAAGCGAACAGTGGTCCGTGCGTATAACACTATCTGCCCCCTCTAGGTAGCACCTCCACACCTTATACGCATGGATGATCGCGAGCGCCTCCTTGTCGTGTATGGGATCATTCAACTCCGCTCCCCTAAGCTTACGCGACTCGTACGCGATCGGCTGCAACCCGCGTCCCTGGTCCTGAAGAAGTACTGCTCCTATGGCCTGATCTGAAGCGTCGGTCACTACAACGTACGGGCGAGTGGGATCAGGGTACGACAGTGTCGGTGAAGACGTGAGCGACTGCTTCATCTGCTCGAACGCCTGCTGCTGCGCTGGACCCCAAACGTACTCTACGCCTTTCCGAAGTAGGTCGGTGAGTGGACTAGCGATGGAAGCGTAACCCTGAACGAAACGACGGTAATAATTCGCGAAACCGAGGAAGCTCTGCAACT